TATATGATCCATCACATCCTGACCTCCACCAATCCCAACCCTCCATTCCTTTCAATGTGCCGAATTCACACGTTGAATGGAGTGGGCGGGTTAAATATAAATGGGCCCCGGGCCTGGAACACAGGGGCCCCTAAAAGCCGGATCTGAAGTGGACCCGTCATAAGCTTTCATGCGTCACAGTGATCACTACGGAACATCCTTGTTATCATTTCCAAGTCACATGATCGTTATGAAATAAAAAAAAACAGCCGCTGCTCCCGAGTTCTGTCAGGTGACCCGAGGCAAAGATCACATGGTCTGGTCTCAGGAGCCTTGTGGGCGTTTCACATCCTTAGAGACTGCAGAGCCTGGTGTTATTCTTCTGTGTGGTGGACTCGCAGTGGGGTGAGGGGAGCGCCGGCTGATGATTGTTATCTCAGTGACTGCGGCTGTCCTGATACTAAGTGATACAATGTATATGAAATGTAACCCGAGAATCCCTCATCCCGACCAATCACAGCAGCTTCCACACTATGATGTCACCTGACAAGTCATTTATCAGTCTGCAGCTTTCATTATAATAATCCCCGGTGACCCCGCTGTGTTCAGGCACTTCCTGTTTAAACTGTACTGTATCTATGGAGAAAAGGAGGGATTCTGTCATGAGTGAGCGTTGTCACCCCTAGGACAGGACTACGGAACCCCTCCCCTTCTCTATAGATACCGTACAGTGAGTGAGAGTTGTCACCCCTAGGACAGGACTATGGAACCCCTCCCCTTCTCCAGAGATACCGTACAGTGAGTGAGAGTTGTCACCCCTAGGACAGGACTATGGAACCCCTCCCCTTCTCCAGAGATACCGTACAGTGAGTGAGAGTTGTCACCCCTAGGACAGGACTATGGAACCCCTCCCCTTCTCCAGAGATACCGTACAGTGAGTGAGAGTTGTCACCCTACAACAAGACTACAGAACCCTCCTGTTGTCACCCTAGGACAGGGCTACAGAACACCTCCCCCCTTTCCTCATCTCCACCATAAGAGGGAGGGGTTCTTTTCTCATTGTGGTGTCACTGGGATGTAAGCAGAGAGTGATTCCCCCCAGCGGGGACACGGACAGAACTTCCTGTGTACAGTGTACGGGAGACATTCTGTATCTCTTGTTCTAGAAATGGCAGTGAATTGATCCTTTCATACCCCCCCTCCCCCCCCACCCGGGGGCGTCTGACCTCTGATCCCCCTCATATTCTGAACACATCTCCCCTTGTGTCATAAATTAGGGGCGGAGCCACCTCACCCAGGATGTCCCCCCCCCCGGCTCCGAGGATTAACCCCTCGCCGCCCTGAGCCTCCCTGTGTTCATTTCTACATCATGACTTGTATTTTATAATGCGGTATCAGCCTCTTGTGTAGTCCCTGTGCAGCAGAGCTCAGACTGGGGGGGGGAAGCAGCACAAGGAGCCAATCAGCTGTGCTGCCGTACTGCTTCTCCTTTCACTGCCCAATCACAGGCTGGGGGGAGGGACAAGACCTGTAAGTGTTACTGAACTGCAGCAGATGCATTTCAGGTCTCCTCCCTTGTGCTGTGTGGCAGAGCTGTGCAAGTCTGAGGACTGGATGAACAGAAACGACTCATTTCTGATTGGTTGTTGGAGGAGCACCCGGGATTCGCCTGGCTTCCTTCCTATCAGTGCTCGTTATGAGGGTTTTGGGGCTCCGTCCAGTTTTGGACTTAACAGATAATTTGGAAGTAATGGCGGCCGAGTCCCCTCCCCCCTCTGTGCGGTCAGGACACGGTTTGTGGGGTGACGGCGGCGCTTTTGCTGTTTTTGGGGGGTTTGCACAGCCCGGTTGTATTCATTCTTGTGACTTTGTGTCTCCCCAGCAGTGTCCGGCCTCCCCGGCCAGTGATCCCCCCCAGAGTCATCGCACAGCGCCCCCCACTGGCGGGGGCAGAAGACCCTCCGTGCCCGGCGACCCCCCGCAGATGGCCCAGCTCATCCAGGAGATATCAGAGGTAGGCTGAGTGTGGGGGGTTCTGTATTTCCCAGGAGGACATTTCCCTGTTTGCTGTTCCATATTTCCAGTCGGGGGGGGCGGAGTCACAGCTTTGTACAGAGGAGAGGAAATAGGAATATTGATAAGACATGGAGGACGACATAGGTGACGGGTTCTCTTTAAGGAATCCCTATGGTAGGGTTAAAAGGGAACACCGCCTTCTATTGAACTGCGCACCTCGCCCATCCCCTGTCATGTGATCACACACTCAGGACAGACATGACCCCCCCATGACAATGTGGCTCTTTCTACTCTGGCCGGGTCACTGGTGGGTCATGGCCTGTCCAGTGCTGCCCTCTGCTGGGAGGACTGGTGAGTGGCGCAGCCCCTTTAGCCTCATTAGCATATAATGGTGACAGGAGGCTCCGCCCCGAGCACTGACATTTCTGGTCTGACCCCTCCAGACTGTCAGTGTTTGGATAGCAACTTGGCCCTTGTGTCTATGGAAGAGGCTCACCTGCCCGGGGCCACAGCCGGCATCCGCCCCACTGTCCTCTCCGTCCAGAGATAAGAGGGGTGAGCGGCTCCCTGACATAAGAGGTGAGTCAGTTATGTGGGTGTCAGTAGGACGGGGCGGGGCAGTAGGAGGGGGTGGAGTCAGTGGTAGGGGGGGGTCAGTAGGAGGGGGCGGGTCAGTTATGTTGGTGTCAGTAGTAGGGGGGAACTGAGCTGTGAAGTGTTACATTGTATACTGTGATGTTCGGTTGTCTTCTCTCCGGAATGACTGTCACGGATCTCCTGTAGGCGGAGCTCTGGGTTCGGGGGAAGCGGCAGGATTTGGGGGATCAGGATGATGATTGCAGCGCCCGATCCATAGACGGGGACATCCGGGGCTTCCAGGTCACCATGATGAAGCTGAATCAGGTGCCAACATCTACCGACACTGACATCTGACAACACTGACATCTGACAACACTGACATCTGACAACACTGACATCTGACAACACTGATGAACTCTGCTCTCTCCTAGATGAGTGATCACTTGTTGAGAAGTGAGACTCCCAGCGCAGACAATATTCGCACTCAGCTCCAATCTCTGAAGGACCAATGGCAGCTGCTGAAGAACACAGCAACCAATCACAGCAAGCTAGGGGGTGGAGCTAACGCATTGCAAGAGTTTAATAAGAAGGCGGATGAGCTGGAGATGTGGATGAGGGAGAAGGTGAGACCTGCCAGGGGGACCAGAACATCCCAATGTTTTATCCTCCCCCCACACACCCTATTCCCTTCCCCTCCCCCCACACACCCTATTCCCTTCCCCTCACCCCACACACCCTCTTTCCCCCTCCCCCTCACTCCAGTTTTGGATGCGGCATATAAGAGTTTCATCTGCAGGTCAGGTATCTATGGTGACCTCATTTTTGGGAGTTCATTGAGGATCCCTCCCCCGGAATCTTGTGTCTGAGCTTCTCTGTTCCTACAGGAGGAGATTCCACCTCTCAGCTTGTTGCTGGATGAGAACCTGGACAAGGTGCAGCTGAGCCGCCGGATCCTGGACCTCAAGCAGGTGTGCAATGGTGGAAGATCGGGGGCGGGGTCTCTGACTTGTCACTATGAGTATTGTGGAAGGATGGGCCCTAAAAATCTGAGTACAAAGAACTTGTTACCCATTTTGCCCGCTGTACGTTTCTGTCTCTGGAGGCGGCCATCTTGGTAAAGGAGCATGGCTTTGCTTCCTAATGTTGAAGCTGCCCCCCCCCGCCAATGACTGATAATCTATTGGCTGGTGGGGTAATGATGAGAAAGCAGCTGAAGATGTGGAGGGAACACACAGAATAGATCAAGCAGAAGCAGTGAGATCCTTGTACTGCAGGTCCTCAGGTACGGCTTCCTCTCCAGCAAGGAGAACAATGATCAGCACAGCGGTGACACCACCAAATCTTACTCCAAACCACCTGAGACCGGCAGTCAGAGGAAGCAGTCCCCGAGAGGACCTCACACTGAAGGTATACAGCTATGAGGATACAGGAGTGCCCAGGCACAGGAAGTGCACAGATTTCAGGGGTGCCCAGGGATTTCAAGAGTGCCCAGGCACAGGAAGTGTATAGATTTGAGGAGTGACCAGGCACAGAAAGTGCATAGATTTGAGGAGTGCCCAGGCACAGGAAGTGCATAGATTTGAGGAGTGACCAGGCAAAGGAAGTGCATAGATTTGAGGAGTGACCAGGCACAGGAAGTGCACAGATTTTAGGAGTGCCCAGGCACAGGAAGTGCACAGATTTCAGGAGTGCCCAGGCACAGGAAGTGCACTGATTTCAGGAGTGCCCAGGCACAGGAAGTGCACAGATTTGAGGAGTGCCCAGGCACAGGAAGTGTATAGATTTGAGGAGTGCCCAGGCACAGGAAGTGTATGGATTTGAGGAGTCCCCCGGCACAGGAAGTGCATAGATTTGAGGAGTGACCAGGCACAGGAAGTGCACAGATTTCTGGAGTGCCCAGGCACAGGAAGTGCATAGATTTGAGGAGTGACCAGGCACAGGAAGTGCACAGATTTCAGGAGTGCCCAGGCACAGGAAGTGCACAGATTTCAGGAGTGCCCAGGCACAGGAAGTGCACAGATTTCAGGAGTGCCCAGGCACAGGAAGTGCACAGATTTCAGGAGTGCCCAGGCACAGGA